AAAAAGGTTATTAGTTTACACTTAGAACCATTTAAATTCAATTCATTATCCATGCACCATGTTTGAAATGCATTTAGATCCGATTGTAAAGCTAAACTTTGTGCGGGGTCATTACATTGCAGGCACAACTTAACGTCATCTGCGTACATAAGAACCCGTGACTTCGTTAAGACTAATGGAAGGTCATTTATAAATAATGTAAACAGGAGCGGACCAAGATGAATTCCTTGTGGTACACCGGAAGTAACTCGGATTAGGGATGACAAAGAGTTTTTAAAAATGACCCTTTGAGTCCTATCATTCAAATAACTTAAAATCCACCTAAGAAGATCACCTGAAAACCCTAAAAGGTCCAATTTCCGGACTAAAATCGGGTGACTTACAGAATCAAACGCCTTACTAAAATCAGTGTAGATCACATCAGTCTGACGATTCTTTCTAAAACCTCCTGTAACAAATGAAGTAAACTCCAAAAGGTTGGTTGTCGTTGACCTACGTTTTATAAATCCGTGTTGACAAGAGGAAATAAGGGACCTACAACTGTGTTGTAAAAGAGGCGTAATAATGTTCTCAAAGAGCTTCGGTATAGCTGATAGCTTTGAAATACCTCTGTAATTACATGCGTTCCATTTACTCCCTTTTTTATGAAGCGGGATAACAAACGATTCCTTCCATCTGTGTGGGAAATCGGATGTTTCTAAAGACAAAGTAAACAGTTTGTGCAATGGTCTACACAAAGTCTCAGCGCAATACCTAAGCACACATCCAGGGACTCCGTCAGGACCCGGAGAGTAGACTGGTTTGACCCTTTGCAATTCTAAAAGAAGTGAGCTTTTACTTATAACAGGACAACAAATAAAGTTTGATTTAGGAATGACATATGGGTAAGACTGATCTGGAGGACTTGATGTTGAATAGGTGGTTTGAAAAAACTGTGCAAAAAGATCGGCTATGGCTTGATCAGTGCTAGCAGCCGAATTTTGAAATTTAAGTGATGATGGGTAACTAGAAGATTTACGCTTTGTGTTAACAAAATTATAAAACTGTTTTGGATCCAGTGTAAGCTGGGTCTTGCAACGAGCTAAATAGTTTTTATAACACTGGGCGTTAAGCACGGTGAAATCAGACCGAGCACTTAAGTATCGGGAAAAGGCAGCTTGTGAACCTGAAGCTCTAAACTTTTTGTAGAGTCTAGACTTTACATTTTTAAGTCGTGCCAGCTCTTTGTTAAACCACGGAGGTTGGTTTGAAATTTTAGGATAATACGTAGGAACGCATGTATCAAAAACTTCGTTTAATATGTTATAAAATATATTAACCGCTTCATTTATATTAGTACTTAAGTACAGATTGGACCAATCCGAGCAAGCTATAAGGCTATTAATGAGTGCAAAGTTCGCTTTACGAAAGCAGGGGATGCGTTTAGCTATTTTTTCAGATACTTCATACACTTTTGTACCCGTGTCAATAGTCAGCTCTAGCGTTGGGTGATAAGGGTCTTCTGGTAAAGTAATTGCAGAGGTTCTAGCTATGCAGACACAATCTGGACTGGAAACAAAGCATAGATCCAGTAATCGTCCTAAGAAATTTAATACATGATTTACTTGAGGCAATGAAATATCAAGCAAACCGTCAAGAAAATCATGCTGCTTTGAAGGTAACAATATATTTGAGGTTTCGACGGTGGACCATGTCGCCCTAGGTATATGGTGTTTTCTTCTGTTAAAGAATGTTGGTTTAAATTGTTTCCGCTGTCATAATTTAATTTCTCTTCTATTCCGTTATATTTAATAACTCCCTTAGCTGTATCAATCACAGCTCCTATTTTTTTCAATAGGTTATAGCCGATCAGTAGATCTGAGTCTAGCCCTTCTATTTCATAAAAAGTATATCGTGTATCAAAAATAGTTATCATATGATAATATTTAATTATTGAATATCCATTCACTGTGGATACACTTTTGTATATTGGAAGCTCATTCTTATTTTTGTAAACTCCAGTTCTAATATAACACGAGGTTGCCCCAGTGTCAATTAATATTTTTAATTTTTTATTTATTTTCGGGTCATTTCTAAATAAGTAGGGTAAGCCTACTCCTGACTTTTGTCTAAAAAATGGTTCTCCTCAATGTTGTTTAGTCTCATTGTCTTGTTAGCCGGTTGGTTAACAGTTCCAGTTGGTACCCTTTTATTTTGGGCTTGTCCTTGCTGAGTATTCTGGGTCTCAAATTTTTTTGTTTGATCCCACTTGTTCTGGCTATAATTATTATTTTGATATTTATTATAATTTTGATTATAGCCGTTGTTAGCCCTATTCTGAACCTGGATAGACTCGTCTACCTCCATTGGTTCTGGCTTATTTTGTGGCTGCCTATAGGTGTTCCACTGATTTTGTTGGTTATTATTAAATCTACCCTGGTTCCAGGAATTATTTTTGTTCTGACTATAATAACCATAATTATTTTTGTTCCTTAAATTATTACTATTTCGCTGGTTATTGTAATTGTTGTTTTGTTGTCTTTGCTTTTGGTTGAAATGTGTTTGACAATTTCCACCAGTGTTTGGCTCACTATTTTTTCTTTGAGTGGTTGAGAAACTATTTGCGAAATGCGCCCTCATGTTGTTGCTTTCCAACTCCTGAACTATGACCATTGCATTCGGTAGGTCAGGTGGATTCATTGAGAAAATTGTGTCTGAAATTTGGCCGTTTAGGCCGGTAATGAAAACTCTTAGAGCAGTCTTCCTATGTTTTTCATTCATTTCTGATGTTATCGGTTTGTTTCTCCCGTAGGTCATAATTGTTTTATTAATAAGTAGAGTTAACTTTCTATTAACTGTACCATAATAATCCATAATTGATAATTTTCCCAGACTCAAAACACTTAGTTCCTGTTCAATAATATGAATAGGACGTTTGTCGCTAAAGACAAAGTCAAGTCTGGCCATTATGGCATCGAAATTTAATACCGTACCGTTATGGGTTAAGGCATCGTTTGCCATTCCCGTTATTTTGTTTCTTAATATCGATAGGGCGGAATAAAATCCTTCACTCCCTCTGGCATATTGCCCCATGGCTATTTCAGCCGATTCTCTCCAGCTTACATATTTATCTTCTTCTCCTTTATATTCCCTAACAGATTTGATGATCTCATAAGATGTGTCGCACTTTATATTGGGATCTATAATCTCTATCTGATAATCTTCAACCGTTTTAATTTTATGAGAAAGCTGCGATCCTAAGTTAACGATCTCTTCCTTTAATGGATTCAATTCAAAATTTACAATTTGTTTAATTAAATCTCCTACATTTAACATGGTATTGATGATGATGATGTTTTTGAGGCGAACTTATGTGGAGTCTTTTATTTGCTCCGTTCTGGCTTGTTGAAGGTTCTGACATTTTGAGAATGTTTTCGAAATCAAAAATTAATTCTTCCACTTTGTTTAATTATATTTTTTTTTACAAATTTCTTATTAAATAATAATAATAATAAAAAAAAGATTATATCGCTCACGAATCGTCCTCCTTATTTTTCTTGTCGTTGTTTTTGGGGTTGTCGTTTTTCTTGGATGATGATCCTGCTTGGAGTCGTCCTTCCTTCTTTTGTATCTTGGGGTTTTTAAATTGGTGTCTTCCTTCTTTCTTCAGTGTTTATTTCTTGGCGAGGGATTGCCCTTCAGCCTTTATTCTTTAAATGTCTTTTTGTTGATGATTTCGATGATTTGTTTGCAATATTTTTTTAATTAATTTGTTTTTTACAATGGTTATTTGTTTCGATGAATTTTGTTGTCACTTTTTAAATTTTTTATTTTGTCCGAGCAGTGAATTTATGTTACGAACACTATTTTGTAATTTGAGATTTTAAGGGGATTATTCCATTAATTATTTTCCACCTTATTATTTTTTGATCAACACAAACTTCTTATTTTTTTGCCGGTTGTATAGAGTTTAAGGGGATTATTGCATTTATTAATTTCCACCTTATTTTTATCAACACAGGCTTTATGTATTCGTCGGTTGTATCGGGTTGTTGGCCGCGCAAAATTCCTTTTTCACTTTTAAACTTTTTTGGGGTTTATTTAAAAGCTTTGCTTTAGAATTTTTAAACCACACGGCCCCACGTTGGGCGCCAATTAAGTTTCTCACTAGTGAATTGATTAAAAAAATTTATTTTTATTTTTTACAATCACTTATTCACTATTACAATTTTACAATAGGTCGAACTTATTTAATTCACTGCTCTTGTATTTATTCTTGTATTATTGTTCTGCTCGATTCGGATCTCAAAAACGGACTGCCCGCTCTCTAGTTCAATGATCAATAATCAAACCTCGGATTAAGAGATTTTATCCCCAAAAATTGATAAAGAGAATGACTCAAGAGAGTCGGAAAATAGGATGATGCAATTTGCCAATTAAATTCGAAGTCCAATCTTGGCCGGAAATTGGTGTTTACATTAGCGGAGTTTAGGGACCGCTTTGGGGATCTTTTTGTTTACGTTAGCGGACTCGGGACTCGCTTTGGGGATCTTTTGTTAACGTTAGCGGACTCAGGGCTCGCTTGGGGCTCCGATTGTTTACAATATCGGTTTGGATGTTTACAGCATCCGTTTGATTCGGACTGCGTGAAATTGATCTGGGTGGGAATGATTTGGAGGCCTGCTTGGCAGAAATAGCTGACCACGGATTTATCTCGGGTCTGTCAGAGTTATTTGGAAATTAGCTCTCGTCTCCAAGTTGTTTATAAATTGGGTAAGAGCCCCTAAATAATGTGTCATATAACTTGCATATTAGTTAGTTGTGTTCGTTTATTACTGCAGACCGTTTATTACTTGTGTGTATGTCGGCAGAGTGCCGGCAGAGAAAAAAATCCTGTCCCCTGGAATGGAGGCGTGTTTACCACTGGCTGAGTAAACTATAAAACAAAAAAAATACCTCAAAACAAGGGTTCATTTATAATAATTATTGTCTTTTAATGTAATCATAACTTTCTATTACAGACGTTAACAACTGCATTCCGGCAGCACGACACTGATTTGGATGGGATCATAACCATACATTATGAACAATTTTTAAGCATGGTTTTTTCTTTAAAAATATAGATTCAACGAAGCAAATATAAATTCAAAAATAAAATGTTTTGAAATACAAGTTAAAAATATACTATTATTACTCGACTAGCAGTATATATGTATTGAAAAGATAAAGTGACTGATAAGATCAATTGTTGGCTTATATGGTAAATAACTCTTAAATGGACCCCCAACTGCTCTTTGAAAAGATAACGTATAACATTACTTGTAGTTAAGAAACAAACACTTTTTATTAAACAATAAAAGAACAAAGCCAACCCGGGTTAATGACATCCTGAGCCTATTAATCCTTAATAAATGTATTTATCAATAACAAAGTCCCACAAAAGTTACTTAATAGGCGGACGGTCAGGGTCGGATTAGGCTAGCGCGAGGCCTGAATCAAATTCTGTTAAGTGCCTTATTCTATTTTATAATACCCGTTAAACTTAAATACCCGTAAAAAAGGATGTATTGTGCTCGGGGAAAAGTAAGTAACAAGAAAATACAAATTTCCACTGGAAATGTGTTGGTTTCCTCAATAGATTGACCTAAAAAGTGAAATACCCACAAACCGCCCGAAACCATTTATCCGTCCGACCATATGAAAGTTTGCGGTGCTTACTAAGCTGTGCTTTTCTTATTCTCCCTAGCACTCCCTTTAGCCTTGTGAATTCGGCTCTTTAAAAAGTATTTAATCCGACACTAGATATCGTGATATGGGCTGTTCTTTTACAAACCGAACGGATTTCGCAAAAACAAATTTTTCACATTTTTGATTTTTCTGAATTTTTTACGCTTACTATTTGGAAAATAAGTATAAACGTTTATCAGGATTTGGGCAAAAAATTATTTTTTTAACTAAAATTGTATAAAATTTGCAAAAAAAAAAATTTGCAAAAAACACTGTATATCCTGCTGCAGTTGACTTCATTTTTATACCCGTTACTCGTTGAGTAAAAGGGTATTCAGATTCGTCGGAAGGTATGTAACAGGTAGAAGGAAGCGTTTCCGACCCGATAAAGTAATATATTCTTAATCAGGATCACTAGTCGAGTCGATATAGCCATGTCCGTTTGTCCGTATGAACGATGAGATCTCGGAAACTATAAAAGCTGAAAAAAAAGGAGAAAAGCCAAAAGAATGTTGAGACTTGGCATGCAGATTCGTGGGCTTCTTGCGCAGCGTTTGCGCCAGCAGGGTCCCCCAACGCCCCAAATCAGATGTTTTCACTAATACTCCACTAAGGAGCTAGGTGGCGATAGGTAGCGATAGGTGGCGCTAGATACAAGTAAGCATATCTGCATCCTTCTCGCACTCTCTTTATCTGAGTAACGGGTATCTATTAGTCGAGGCCATCGACTATAGCGTTTTTTCTTGTTTTTGTATTTAATCCTCAAAAAACTCTACTTTTAAAATAAATATTTTTAAGACCCTTTTTTTTAATTTCTTGAAAATAAAAGCATATTGAATTTTAAAAAAAAATTTGGACTTGGCCTTGCAACAATAAAGAAAGTTTATATGCGCCAGTTGATCACCCACAGTCGTCTTTTTTATAAGGAGACTTGGAGACTTTTTTTGTTTTTAAGATAAAGAATTGTTTCTAACAAGACTTGTGATTTATGCTACGAACGCACAATGCGTTTAACGACTTTTGCAAACTTTAAGAAATTCTAACTAAAAAAATAATTTTTATTCGCTTAAATCCTGATACACGTGTTTTATTTCCTATCGAATAGTACACGGAAAAAAAGTTCAAAAATGTGACCAAGGAACGGTGTTCGGTTTGTAAAAGAACGGCCCATATTCTCGACCAGGATCTCTGGCCTAGTTCATGGAGCCATGTACGTCTGTCCTTATGAACGCTGAAATCCTGCGCAATGCAATTTTGTTTTGTAAGAGAAGATTTTAGGCAAAACACTGATATGAATATGATTAAAACCATACATAATGAACCATTTTTGACCAGAATGATACATTTGTTGTCCTGCGACCGACCGAGGAACACATCAAGGTAAATGTTCTGGGACGCAATTCTTGTAGTTATTAGTTGGTAGTAGTAGTAGTGGTTGGTTTGGTAACTACGCAGTCGACGTCGACAGATAGGTCGGCACACCGTCGTGCAACAATCGCCAACTTCCATCTTCGCGATATTCGGGCCGAACACGTCGAATACGGCGCACCAAACGCTGGCCGGGAGGAAAAATTCTTTGTGGACAATACCCTTGGAATCATAAAAACAAATCAGCATTGTCTTCACTTTTGACTTCTCCAGGCGCGATTTTTTGGGTTTCGGCTCGTCCGGCGCCTTCCATTCAGCACTCTGGCGTTTCGTTTCGGGATCATTTTGAAAACACCACTTTTCGTCACCAGTTACAGTCTTGTAAATGTCTTTTTTTGCCTCTTTAATGATGTCCTTCGAATGTTGAATTCTGAGCAATATTTGGACGTCAGTCAATTTGTGCTGAACAAACCGTGCACACACCTTTTGTAAGCACAAATTTTCGGTCAAAATGCGATAAATCGATGTTTTGGAGATGTTCAATTCTATTTCCATGAATTTCAACGATGATTTCGGATGATTTTTTATGAATTCACGCGCAGTTTCGATGGAATTTTCGGTGATCACGGATTTTGGTTGGCCCACATGTTCATTGTCATTTATGTCCTCACGACCACTTTGAAAACGTTGAAACCACTCGTGCACTCTGGTACGGGATAGGCAATCATCGCCATAAACTTGTTTCATCAATTGAAAAGTTTCGGTAAAAGTTTTACCAATTTTAAAACAAAATTTAATGTTGGCTTTTTGTTCGAAGCTCAATTTCGCACCGATGACAAAAACATACTGACACTTAAAACGCAATAACCTCACTTCGATAAACGATAGCAGATTCTAACGCACCAGTTGACATATAGATGGCGCCACTAGAGGGCGCTAGATTAAAAAAGTCCTGTTTACTTTGGAACTCACCTTGTAGTTCTCGTAAGAAAAGAGAACGGTTTCAACCGGTTCGGAAACATAGACTAGTGATGCCTCCACAGCGATGTTGCATGACTACATGTCGACATGAACTTCCTCCCCCCCCTCGCAATGGGAAAAATTGAATCGAATTGAATTGAAGAAGCCACCCCAAGGGTGAGCTTTGCGCCAAGGGCAATCCGTTCTGACTCGGGAGGAGACCCGGCAGAATTAACTCCGCGTAGACATCAGCTCCCAAAACAGCCGACACTAAAGAAGGGTGGAAACATCTGTCATCAGCCAAAGTGATGTCTTGAAAGCCATCTCGGACCTTCGGATCCAAGGGCTTGGCCGGAGTTCGGGTCTGCATATGGTCATCAACCAGCATCAAAGGTTGCCGGGCCATCTTCGACGACCTTGAGCGGGTGACGGAGTGGTTGAGAGCCTTTGCTAAGGATCCGTGAATGCGACTCCCGGGGCAGCAAGGATCTACCAAAGCTCGGACGTCAAATTGGTTTTCACCAGACCCGATCACAATGGACGCATTCGGCAAGAAGATAGAGGCGCACGATGGGCCCGTAGCGGGGCTTTGAGTCGGGGACATCTGTATCGGTGACGATGAGCGTAGCGACGTCGTCGACAACGCTCTCTGCTTCCGCTGCCGGTGAGAGGCGCACGATGGACCCGTAGCAGGGCTTTGGGCTCTAAAATGTCAGTTTTGTCAGCTATGTTATATTCTATTGGGCGTTGCTCGAGCTCTGTTTCGAGTTGAACCAACGAATTGAGTGACCACTACTCCTGGTGGTGAAGCAACCTCTCAGGCCCGTGCCACCAGAGGTTGCAGTCCTTGAGCTCAAGTGCTAAGACGTCCAAGCTTGCTTGATCAGCTGGGTTACCTTTCGATTTAACATGAAACCACTGGTCTCTGTTGGTGAGTTGATCAATTGTCGAATGTAGTCCAGGTGCATGTTGGCTCGCTAAGCTTTGCAAGCACTATCGTGGAGTCTGTCCAATAATATGTATCATAATGAGTAGGAGGCATTTCGGAGAGAGCCGCTGCAGGTAGTTTGGAGAGAAGCACCGTGCAACACAGTTCTAAACGCGGTATGTAAAGGAACGTTACTGGAGCAAATCGGGCTTTGCATGAAAGCAAGTGGGTGAAGCAGCCGTCAGTCGTTTAGACGCGAACAAAGATGGCAGCACCATAAACGCTCGGCAATGCACCGCGAAACCCGTGTTACTGCAGTTTAGCCGCTGGATGAAATCTTACCTGTCTTAGAATGCGAAATTCCTTCAGGGTTGGATACCCTTTAAGAAAGACATGCCACTTTGTGACTAGATCAATCTCGCATGAAAATTTTGGCCCGAACAATGAAAGGTGATAACCATCCTGCTGGATCATGCAGTTTGGCTATCTGGAAAAAAAAACCTCTCGTTTGGTGTAAACTGATTGAAATGAAATATCCATCGGCGGAAAAAAGAAACTATCTGATGTCGGGTGCCAACGGATTCCTAGAGTTTTGGCCATACTGGCGTCTTCCGAGTCAAGAAAGTCGAACCTGATCAAGTGTTCTTTTGGAATACCTTGTAAGAGTTTCTTCTCGCTTGAGGTCTACTTGCGCAGTGGAAAGCCTGCACTCTCGAGGACATCGCGGAGCTCTTTGATAACTAAAACAGCGGACTGCTGCGTGTGGTTGCCATCTAGAACATCGGCGACATACATAAAGTTAGAAATTTTGTCACTTGCTAAAGGATATTGGTCAAGTACATCCTGGGCCAGTTGTCGCCGAAAGTAATAGTGTTGCGCTCATAATCACAGAGTTTTCCTTCTTCATCGCGGGACAGGGTTCTTTGGAACGTGTATGATTTGAATGGACGGGAATCTTCCGATACATCTTGGTGATATTAGCATTTAAGACGAATTTAAAGAAACGCCTTTTGGGGATCTGGGTGGTCAAATCAGATTGCAGTACCGGACTTGTGTGAGGGATAACCTTCAAGCTGTACCCGTTTGATGGCGTTTGGAGGCGTTAAGCACAACGCGAACCTTTGTGGTGGTACTGTCTGGCCTAAAATCCGCGTGTTGTGGCAAGAAAAATTTCTGGAGTCGTCACTTGGAAAGATATGACCTTAATCTAAAAACGGCTGAATAACTAAGTCATACTGCTCTTTCAAGGGGGAGCTCTTAATCCGCCAGTGCGATGGACCTTGAATGTCCCAGGTTTATATTGCTAGGCTCTTTAAAGGGCAAAGAAACAACATATCTTTTTTCTTCATCCCTTGCGGTGGTTATTTTCACACTCCGAGCTGGATTCCTTACCCGGCTTCACT